TCACATGTCCGCGGGTTGGCATACAACGCCCTAAAGAAGGTCAACTTATAGAAGAAACCTTTGCGCCATAGACACCGCATAGTACCTAACGGTCCACAGAGTCAAAGGTAGCTTTCAAGTCAAGAAGCATAACCATTGTTGGTTGGCGGAGGCATTATAGCTGATCTAGGCATAGGCGTGACATCATCTTATCCGTCAAGGGTCGAGTTTACAATGCTGCGGTGCGCTCCATATTACTATATGGATCAGAAACCTGGCCACTGCGTGTTGAGGATGCCTTCAGAGCATTGCCCGAATCTGATGGGAACACCTGATCAGCAATTCCGAAGTACGTCGAATGGTATTCGGGAGGAATAACTCACCCTCTATAGATGAACTGATCACACTACATAGGTTGCGCTGGCTTGGCCACGTGCTGCGTATGCCAGCCGACCGACTTCCTCGAAGGGCTGTTTTCGCGCAACCACGTGGAGGGTGGAAGAGAGCCAGAGGCGGTCAAACAATGACTTAGCAGTGAAGTTTGAAAGCCATTACCAGCAAACCCAGCCGCGCTGGTCCTTGCCGTCTTCCTGGATGGGGACCCCGAGATGGGCCACACCAATGGTCAGAAACATTATCAGTCGCACATTCGATGGCGCTCGTACATCCAAGCCTTCAATGCATAGCTCCTTTTCCACCCCCACTTGACAGCCCACTGACAGCGCTGGCTTTGTACCCCAATTTATCAGCTCCCACCTCCAATGCGCAGCTACAACCACTGTAAGACGAGTACGCGGTTATTACCGCTGACAATGATGATGTTCTAGAATCTGTCTCAGGGTGAAAGTGTGATCGTTGAATCGTCCACCTTGGTCTCTTCTTGTGTTCGCCCAACCTTCAAAGGATAATACCAGAGAGCGCCTTCGATGTCACGAATGCCATGGTTGTTTTTGCACAGCGCCCTTGTACCCCTTTTGAGGATGGGAATAACTGTCGGTATGTCCCATTCTGCACCAATAAGCTTTTTTTCAGATGGGTCACCAGGTTTCAGTGTGGATATTTCGTTCTTTGTTTTTCCGATGGTGATTAAGGTTTACATTCCGTTTGCCCAAATGCATTGTGTCCACAGGCTGTGTTGTAGCAGGTCAGCTGAACTGTTTTTCGAAGTGTTCGGTTAAGCATCGAAAGGGTGTTACAGCTGAACGATTATCGATTTTCCTAGCGGTCTGCATGAGGCCCATTGGTCAGGTAACGGACCATAAAATGGGCCAGCCACGTTTGATTGTGCGGTGAAAAGGAGTTAGGGAGAGACATCGGTGGACATAGAACTGAGCGGGCAGATGACGCGTCGCGGTTACCCAGGCCGAGGAAGGGGTTTGGGTGAGGTACCCAACCGTAAGCCTTCGACTCAAAAGTCTGACCCACGAGGTAGTGGGAGCATGTGGGGTTTTCTTTGAGGACCCTGCCCGGAGCTGATTACCCAATGGCCTGACCTGCTCGGCTTCTGGAGGTCGGCCTAACCCGAGGGCGCAGCTAATAAGGCATTACTGTCTCACTCCTGATGCGGCTGCGCAGCTGGTGCATCTTGAGCAGCACTGGACTCTGACCTCAAAAGTATTTCAAATATATTGTAGAATGTGTCGGCGGCCACGGCCAACCGTTGGGCGATCGGAGTGTGCGGTCTTTAGAGCCGACCATTTCTAACCCGTCCTTCTTCAGAGGAAGGCAGCATCACTGCTTTCATTAATATTGACATGCTGATCGGTTGGGGAAACACTTTGCTGCCTTCACACTCCTATCGCAGAGGACAGTACGCTTTACCCCTAGCTTGATGTTTCGTAGTACGGGGTCTCGCTGTTCTTGGTCAGACTGCTCCCCTTTGGCCTTCCTGTCAAGATTGCACGTTGTGAAACGATGTTCCACCCAATGTATCCCACAGGTTCATTGTGGTATTCAAACTGACCACCAAGTTCAGGCGCCACCTCTAGGTAGGGCGCCGAATATAGGCGTCGGTGTGAGGGCAGTCATCAGCCGTTTTACCACAGGTGGCACACGTATGCTGCTTTGATTAGAACAGTCTGTTGAGGTGCATTCTTTGAGCAATAATGTGACCATCGATTGGCACCCAGTTCCGCGAACCATGTTATTTTTCCAGAAGTGCGTACGGGCAACTTAGTGGAAGTGCAACAATCATCTCACTTTGATATTTGAAGAACGCTTGAGAGAGGCTAAAGAGACTGGGTCCTTTCGTGCAGTGATGGTTTGTGTACATCTGTGATCTACTGAAGCAAACTGGGGGCTTTCACTCTGACACCAACAGAGCTTCGCATACTGGTATGGACAGTGGTCCCTCTCCCAAAACGGCGACTCGCTCTTTAAAACCTCATACTACTGCAGTAATGCGCCGGTACCCACTCGCTGCTTCTCGGTCAAGAGCCTCTAATCTAAACTTTTCATTGATGAACCTAATATTCTAGGTTTGGGTACCCTGACAGCGTCCTTGCCCGCGCACAACCGTGGGCATCGCAAGTAAACTTTTGTATCATGTTGTCCGTTTCGCGGTGCCGCCTTACTTGCTGCATACAGTAGGGTAAATAAGCGAAATCATCCCACGTATTTCTTCACCCCGTACTCCAATTTAAATACTCTCTAGTCCCGGCACCTGAACTAACCACTCATTTTTTGCCATGCACTGCTCTTAGTTGCGCGTATGCGTCCTAATTCAGTAACAACCATAACCGCCTCGAAAACCGGTCTGTTTAGCTGTCCCTAATGTTGGCACACTGAAGCAAGCAGAAACAAGGATTTAGGATTCAAGTACTGTAATTCAGCTAACTGTCTCCCCATTTCCGACTGCGCACCCCTGCTGATGCAGAGGCCGCTTCAGATGGTTATAGGGGGTAGTGGGTGCGTTTTCTTTTGAACGGTCGGGCGGAAGCGTCTCTACTTAATTGGATGCCTGTTGATTGTCTCCCCTGCTCTGTTGCTTTGGCAACGTTTGAAGTAATCCCGAGCGAGAAAGGTTCATCGCTCCCTGTTTATTTTGCTCGCCTACGCCTCGGTGGACCAACTCCGAACCGGCCAAAGACAGTTTCTGTGGCGCACTAGATCCTCTTCTACAATGGTCTAAAAGCTCAAGCATCCTTACGGTCGCCAGGGCCATGAACGTTCGAGTAGGTAGGCTTAGTGATTGGGTAGCCTTCTTGGTTTGAGAATGAGACGCAGCGGTAACATAGGAAGCCAGCTGCAGACGAGTGCTGGTTACAGACTGTTTCTTTGCAAGACCGATTTTTAGAACAGTGGAAATCGTCTGACAGTATAGTTTCCACCAACCAACCAGCCACACACCAAATATTCCACGTTGCAATCAGTTACCAGCTGGGAGGATGGACCATATTTAACACTCGCGTGGACTCCAATCGTGTACTTGTCCGTTGCTGTTTTTCGCTGCTCTTTTAGGGTCTACGCAAAGAGCTCAGACCTGGCTTAGCCAATGAGAGCCTCGTGGATCCATAAATCAAAGATACCTCTCAGAACCAGTTCCTCCAACTCTTGTTGGATGGTCCGATGCCGGAGGCTAATGATCACTCTAAACAAATATCCGAAGTCTTACATGATTCCAAAACTTCTGCTTACAGTGTACCTCAGCTAACCTCACCTAAGCACTGGGTCTATGGAAGTGCGGTGCCAGAGGCCCGGTGGCAGGCTCCTGGTTGCAAGGACAACCCAAATCGATGCGTCATCCGCACCAAGTAAAACTGCGTTTCCACGCAAAAGTGGGGTGTTGGATCCCAAAGGTAGAATAAATAGGGGTGGAAAATAGTAGAGTTGTTCGTAGATTATTCCACTTGATTTGTTCGTCTAATTTCCAGAAGCCTATTGCCAGTGACATCATCAAGGAGAACAATGGCTCTTTGGTATCCAACGAAGAAGAACGGTAAGACCGTTTGAAGAATACCTCAAACAACAGTTCAGCTGGTCACCTGCCACTTCAGGTTTGCACTGCTGGTTTTGGCAAAAGCGTGGACTGTGAATATGAAGCCCCTTACGTGTGCAGTGAAATGGGCTATTATAAATATATCCTTCGTGCTGAATAAGAGGGCAGTCATCGTTTCAGGGAGGTTTGTTAAATAATCTCAGCAATAAATCACCAAGCCTCCCTGAAACGTTGACTTTCCAATCGGTCCCAAACATTTTCCAAGAGGGTTGTCAGTCCTCAATAGAAGAGCTACAGTTGATCACGAATACGACAAAGAGAGTTCAGTATTTCGACCAATGTGAACTTTTTTGTCGATGTGAAAAGTCGGATAACACATTGTTGTCTGTCCACAGGTATTCACTCGAGCAATGAAGCATCAGCTTACAAACTTGAGACCATACCGGCACCGGCACGACCCGCTGCAACGACTGCAGGATCAGCGGAATTCCGTAGTCGGTGGCGTCTAGATTCTGTAGGTATCTGTCTAATGTGTCTACAACTTTGACCAATATAAGAGTGCTCATCAAGTTGAGCAGGGGAGGAGTTAAGAGGTAAAATGGTAAAATGTAGGTTACCCAGACATCATCAGTGCATTGGGTCGCAGCCGCCAACCCATCGATACGCACCACTACGCTCCCTAACAACGCACTGATGATGTCACCTCGATTGGTGATGGAATGTTTACAATCAAATCTACCAGTTCATCGAACAAACTAACGACCATCTACGCTACCTGAGCGACCAACATTTTCCCCTACAGCAGTACAGTTCACCACAATTTCCGGGAGAACGTAACGAACCCGAATGGAGCATCGAAATTAACTATAATCTAGGCTCCAGTAGTTCTTTTTCTCTTTAGTGACAGACATTCTCTATGAGGCCACGCTGCGATTGCTCCATTGTTCACTTCTGTCATGTACAAATCTACTGCTGATTCTATCTTTTTTAGCTCTTCGTGTGGTCCTCCAAATGTAAGGTTGACTCTGTCTACTCTCGAAGATCCGTGCCACCCCACTCAGTAGTTTATTGAACATCGATTCTAATGGAGGATACGGCACGGTACGTTACTTTGGGAGAACCCGAGTTCGAGAAAAAAGACCGAGGTGGTGGATTTTTCCGGAAATTTCTGGCGAAATTTAAAAGTTTGTATAGACTTATATTCCTAACGTTCTTATTAGTGTATGATGGGGATGTTTCAGTGCAGAAGTTCAGTTGTCCGCCGAACGTAGACAGTCAATCGATTGATGAGAGGATGTTCAAAATACGCTCATCCAAACGCACGGAGGTGAGTATTTTCATACAATTGATCAATCGATACTTTTGATCTCTAATTCGTTTTAACAACAGTACACCTATCATCGATTAATTCAAGGTCACATGTAGTAGATGCGGTCAAGTGTTGAAGCAGAGTTTGTCCAATAACCAATGCATTTAAGAGTGTCCACTTACCTTGTCAGTGTTTGCATCTAATCAATTTCGGACATGCACACGTATTTATGTATCGATTTGAACCACCTCATCTGATAACCCAATTCAACACCGCTCCTTTTTGTTCCTTCAAATTCTTACCTAGAGTTCCGACACATGGTCTGACACGACGTCTGTACAAGAATCAAATACGGAAACACAACCCTCTTTAACGCCATCCAGTTCCACATCTCATGGATCCAATATAACACCATCACGGCGAATACACATGCCCTTCAATCTGAACGCCGCCGCCATTTCCAGCCTCGCCGAGACCAGGCTGTCAGATGACCGACGATATTGGATGCTGGATGAGAGTTGTCGTCATTGCTTTGAGTGTGGTTCTCGGTTCAACGCCATTCGTCGGCGTCATCACTGTCGCATCTGTGGGCGCATTTTCTGCCATCAATGTAGTAATCAGGTCGTGTTTTGCGGTCAAGTGTTGAAGCAGAGTTTGTCCAATAACCAATGCATTTAAGAGTGTCCACTTACCTTGTCAGTGTTTGCATCTAATCAATTTCGGACATGCACACGTATTTATGTATCGATTTGAACCACCTCATCTGATAACCCAATTCAACACCGCTCCTTTTTGTTCCTTCAAATTCTTACCTAGAGTTCCGACACATGGTCTGACACGACGTCTGTACAAGAATCAAATACGGAAACACAACCCTCTTTAACGCCATCCAGTTCCACATCTCATGGATCCAATATAACACCATCACGGCGAATACACATGCCCTTCAATCTGAACGCCGCCGCCATTTCCAGCCTCGCCGAGACCAGGCTGTCAGATGACCGACGATATTGGATGCTGGATGAGAGTTGTCGTCATTGCTTTGAGTGTGGTTCTCGGTTCAACGCCATTCGTCGGCGTCATCACTGTCGCATCTGTGGGCGCATTTTCTGCCATCAATGTAGTAATCAGGTTTGTCGTGTTTTCACAAGCAATACCGTTTTTGTTTTTGCTCGTGTTTCGCAACTTCTGGCATTAATTGATTTTATGGGTGTTGTTTCTCATATTGTTCATGCTAACACCTCTGTTGTCTCAGCCTCTCGCCTTCCCCTGTCTAGGCCTGGCAACCTAGTCGTGTTTCGCAACTTCTGGCATTAATTGATTTTATGGGTGTTGTTTCTCATATTGTTCATGCTAACACCTCTGTTGTCTCAGCCTCTCGACTTCCCCTGTCTAGGCCTGGGCAACCTAGCAGTATCCCAGCCCTCGTGCTTCCTTTGTGTGGCATGGCAGCTAGGCACCGAAAGGGTGGTACAACTGAACGGTTTCTTTCTCTTTCTCTTCAGTACTTCATACTATCACTGGCGTAGCTCAACTCTGGGACCTCTCGATCTTAACACGAATAAACAATAAGGGGCGGTGAATCATTTCATGGTCATATATTACGATTTCACTGCGGTCATTTATCATCTAAGCGTTCATCGCCAAGGTCACTGTTTATGGACAGGAAGCGAAAAGCTGCGGTTGCTTAGGTCGTGAAAGTAAATATGAGAACCGCAAAGTAATCGATCGTAAGTTTTCATTTGTGACTCTGGTCCGATAGTTTTTCGTCCTGTTGACGGTTCTTCTTTTCCTTCCCGTCGGTGGTGATCATGCTCTCTGAGCGTTTGTCCAATTTTCCTGAGTAGGAACTTTCCACACACCACGACACCGGGTCCGACAGGAAAGTCAATTGCAACAAAATCACAAGGTTCGACTCGCTCCTGGCTAGCAGCTTGGACGCTTCGTGTTGCTCCTCTGGTGCCCTCAAGAAAGTCTGCTGTGGTTTAATTTTTCTGAGAAATCGGCGTCTTCGGGGTCGTGGCTGTTAGAGAGGTCTGTTATAGATTTCCTCAGAGAGGTTACTTCAACCAGCTCATAGATGGTCCCACAATATTGTGTGATAGTTATGTAAGCAAAGCATGACTGGGTACATCCGTTTTATGTGCATATAGATAGGGTCCCTACAGCCCGAAAGAGTGGACAATGCTTGTGAAGCCTGATTGTTTATCTCGTGAGCCCCAGTTCCTCCATATCTATGCCCACGCGCATCAAATTACTCGGCTCAGAACTGAACTAAGTTGACGCCATTGGAAATCCTCCAGGCTGAAGTTCACTTAATCCTGTCTGTCATCGTTTATCTCACTTTGCTCCAGGACATTCCTCCTATCATCTTTTATCTGTTCCACACTTC